ATATTTCATGACCTAGAGATAAAGATAAAAATTTTAAAAATAATAATAATTTCATGACTTATAAATAAATAAACATATAAAAATTGATAAATAATTTATAAAAATTAATTTTGTGGTCTATAGATAAGTTAAAGATTAAATAATTGATTTACAAAAAATTAAAATAATAAAATTTAGATAAAGATATGATTTACTAATCTATATTTATCTAAATCTTTCTTTTGATTAACCCATATTTATATATATATATATATATATATTCTCATTCTATCACAAATTATCCTTTTTTTTATTTTGCATTTTTTATCTTATGAAATGTCCTTGTGTATATCCTCCTAAATTCTTAACAGTCTCCCCATAATTTTTATTATTCGTTATTATCTATCAAGTGATAAAGATAAAAAAAAAATAAAAAATAAAAAATTGGTTGGCTCTGAATGAGAAGAGCATTAATAATGAAATAATGAAGACTGCATGAGAAGAGGCAGCACAAAAATCTCACAAAATTAATTTTTGTTACTATATTTATTCAAATTAATAATTTGATATTCTTTCTCTTAGTTGTTAAAAATAGTTTGCATTAGATCATTATTATATGTTTTTTATTTTTCATTATTTTTTTGTTTTGTATATAAGGTTGTCATTTGTTGTAGTATTTCTTCAATCATGTCTCTAAATTCACTCTTTGAAATTTTTATTTCTTTAATAATATAGTTTAGAATCAATTTTTTTTTATCAAATTTGTTTTCTTGGTGCTTATTTTATTAAATGATCAAGACGAATAAAATTTTCCTATGCTATATGAAACTGATGAACATAATATTATCAAAGATGGTAGGGAAGTACTAAATATTTTTCTATCTCTCTGCAATTATTAGCTGATTTGCTAGATTATATTATCAATTTAGAGTCCATATGATTTAATTCAATGTTCATGACTTTAGTTGCATTCGACCATTTTTTTGTTAAGTAACCTATGTAATTTTTTTTGTTGGTATATAATGATTAAAGCTATCATTTGTTATATTTCTTCAAGTACAATTCAAATAATTTATCATCATTTTTTTTTTATAAGTAAAATGGATTCAAACTATTTTGTTATATAATTTTTATAATCCTACAAAGTTCTTATCTTGATTTGTTTTTTTTTAAATGTTGTAGGAATTATGAAAGTATAACTCAAGCTATGGAAAAAAGGATTATGGAGAAAGATTTATATTTTGATATGATATGCATGTATAATTAATAGAGAAGACCAAAGATAGAGAGTTATTAACAAGATCAATTAATGATTTGTTTGAAAAGTTCTTTTTATGAATAGGGTAACAAACTTAATTAAATTTTTTAAAAACTATACTTAGAAATTATAATTAAAAGTTGAGATTTATTCATAATTTGGTCTCACAAAAATGATTTAAAAGTCTAAGTAAATTTGTGATAACTTTTCTGAGTTTATAATATTTCTCTCGTTTGACGCTTTTTTTTTTCTTGCATGATTTATAGTTTGATACAAGTTATTGATATTATCAGGTGTTTGTGATACTATTATCCCCAACAATCTTTATAATGGGAAAATCGGTTTAAGGTCCCTATCCAACTTTTAGTAATGGATTAGGTCCACAATGTATTCTTTTGTAGCCTAAGGTCCCTCAATGTTATTTTAGAGTGTAAAATACCTGTCTTACCCTTATTTATAATATACGTTGTTTTGAATTTGGCAGCTAATACATTTTGTAATGTCCTTTATGTAGAAAATTGTTATTATTAGGGAGCTTAAAAAAAAAACCCCTTTAAATTAACAATTTTTTATGCATATCAAATTTTATTGTGAAATTTTGTGGATTAATTATTGCTAGCATCTACTAGGATGGCCTAACATCATGGTATGCAACTATTAAGACATTATTCAATGTTAAGATGATTTATTTATTTATCATACAAAATGTATATAGTCTATTTTTCTGTGTATCACACGCTATTACTGTACTATATATATAACCAAATGTAATTGTTTTGTCAAAAGCCTTAAAATATTCATTCTAAAATTCTCATAATTTCAAAACTCTCTCTTTCTTACATGATAATCCTTTTTGATTGTCTTTCATGTTTTCTATTTTCCTCCATTTTCTATTTGTTTGATTAATTAAATTAAAAATTAATTTCATGACTTATGGATAAAGATTTAAATTTCAAAATTTCCCCATATAGATAAACATATAAAAACTGATAAATAATTTATGAAAATTAATTTCATGGTCTACAGATAAAAATAAAAATTAAATAATTAATTTTAAAAAATTAATTTCATAGCTTATAGATAATTTAAAATTTTCTTCCCATAAATAAACATATAAAAATCGATAAATAACTTATAAACAATAATTTCATGACCTACAAATAAAGATAAAGGTTAAATAATTAATTTAAAAAGATGAAATTACTCCCTTTTTTTGTTTTTTTGTTTTTTGCCCTTCATTTTGTACTTTAATTTATTTCATTATAGATAAACATACAAAAATTCATAAATAATTTATGAAAATTTATTCATGCCGTTTAGATAAAGATAAAAATGTATAAAAAAAATTAATTTCATGACTTATAAATAAATAATTTATGAAAATTAATTTCGTGATTTACAGATAAAGATAAAGATTAAATAATTGATTTACAAAAAAATTAAAATAATAAAATTTAGATAAAGATATGATTTGTTAATTTATATCTATCAAAAACATATCTATCTAAATCATTATTTTGATTTACTCATATTTTGTTTTCTCCTTCTATCACATAATCCTTTATATTTTGAATTTTTTTATCGTATGAAATATCATTATCTATGCCTTTTTATCTCCTCTTAAATTTTTAATCTTCTCCTCATAATTTTTATTATTCGTTATTATATACCAAGCGATAAAATAAAAAATTAAAAAAATTGGTTGGTTCTTGTTGTGGCCGACCGAATAAAAAAGCTACAATTCGAAACCAATTGCAAGTCGACTCCTACCAGCGAACTAACTGTGGCCCGCCTTGGCCAAGTAAGTTTACTTTTGGGCAAATTACATATACACCCCTCGAGGTTTGGCTAAATTACAAATACCCTCCTGAGGTTTGAGAAATTACGAATTTCCCCCTGAATGCTATATTTACATAAGAAATTAGGGGGTAATTTGTTATGAAATATAAACCTCAGGGGGTAAATTGTTATGAAAATACAAACCTCAGGGGGCGGGATGTAATTTCCGAAACCTCAGGGGGGTATCTGTAATTTTACCAAACCTCGAGGGGTGTATATGTAATTTGCCCTTTACTTTTTATAGCCGAATATGTTGCGGGTCATACGGCGTAAATAAGGGCCTAGCTGTAAGGGTAAGGTTTCCATAAATCAGAAGGTAGGTCCCCGAAGAGTATTATAAAAGGAGGAACATCACCCAAAAAAAAAGGTATGCGAAAAGAGAGTAAGATAACTTGAATTAGAAATAAACTTGAGAGAATATTCACTTATCCGTCAGAGTACTAATTCTAACACCTCCATTCGAAGTGTTGATCTATATCTTTTCTTTGCTGGTGTTGAATTTGAAAACAAAAACAAAAACACTAAGGCTCGTTTGTTTTCAGAGATAAAATTAAGAGGATTAATAGTGAAGGAAGTGTTAGTAAATGAATTGATAGTGAGAGGATTAGTAAAATTGTGTTTGTTTTGATAATAGTTGCTAGTGTGTAGATTATTAAATTACTTTTATATAAAATAATAAAATAAACAAAATTATGATTTTTACTTAACAAAAAAATACAAAACCATTAAACATTAATGCTCAAAAAAAAAAAAAATTCCCAAAAAGTTTAAAAAATAAAATATAAATTGCAATTGCAATTGATCAGTCGGACTACCGGTCACCTCCTAAGCTGACGGATTATTTTGCTAATACTATCTCCCAGTGTAGACTAATCATCCGAACCACTAAGGCCTTTCATAGTCCGAAAGGACTACAAATCTGGAGTTCCAAAACCAAAACAAACATGGAGTTGCTTCACTGTTTATCCGTCACAATCCACTTCGGACTGTGATGGCGGAAAACAAACGGGGCCTAAGTGTAGAAACAAAGGCTTGTTTTCGTTGGTAGAGAAGGTCCGAGCAGTGGCCTGTAGTGTAGCTAGACCCTCTCCTTTCCAGTACCGCTAATAAAACACTATTATACTGTGTTTAATTGGGAGATTTGTGAAGGGATTTAGAAAATGAATGAGAAAAGGTGTGTGAAACTAGGTGGGTGTTTGGGAAGTTGCTATTTTAGTAGGCTAAAATTTTTGTGTATAGAAAGATGATTGAATTTTTTGTAGTTTGGTATAATGTTTGTAAGAGAAAAAGTGAAATGATTATGAGTTTGATGTGACATTTTGTCTTATTGGCTATTTTAGCTTATTTTGTCTTTTTGTGAATTTTAACCTAAATTAGGCTAAAATTTTACTTCCCAAACAGCTTCTAGATGAAATATAAATATATTTTATTTACATTTTACCTTCTTTTTTATTTTCCTTTGCAAATCATTTTTCAAATCCCCCAACCAAACACAATATAAGTGTGGAAACATAAAATCAAACATAAAAAATATATGAATGTATAAATTTTACAAGATTTATTGCAAAGAAAAAAAAAATTATTTAAGTTTTTTGTTGTCTGATTTTGTATATAATTTCTGTGTTTCTAAACTAACAAAAACATGACTGGCTGCTTACAATCTAGACAGGTTTTGGAAGCTTGAAATTGCCCTTGAAGCCCCGATGCCCAAGAAAGGCGAAATAGATTATCGAGTCCCTTCATCTTCAATATGATTAAGGCGTTGTTGTTTGAATCACTCAACATATCTATCAAGAAAGAAAGAAAAACACAAAATTCTCGAGATTCTCATCATATCGTGCAATTGAGAATGAATTAATAACAAAGGGACAGAAGATATCATTCCCATCATTTTGTGCATAGACCATTCAAACAACAACATATATGCTCAACTAAAAAGAACTTGAATAGTATCATTTAGAGAGAAGCACATCACACGAACAAATCAAAACAATTCAATTCAATCCAATCCAATCCAACACAAAGAAAGAACAAAAGCAAATACAATTGTAAGTACTATAGAGAAAAGGGTCTTCTAAGTCCCTCTAGCTAGCATTTGCTCGTAATTTTCAATGGATTCAAGGCGTTGGATGAGAAGCTGTTGCTTGAATTTATTGATGAATAACTCCGCGCTTTCGTTTATATCCATCGATGGCTGGCTCTCTAACTTCTTCTCTGCCGCCGCCACGGCCGTAGTAGTACCACTCTTCTTGCCTCTGAAATCATCATCAAATCTTCTACTCTGCTTTTCTTGCTCTGTTTTGGGTGAAACCTTGGAGGTGTGGCAGAGAGGTGACTTAGAATTCTTCATTTTAGTTAACTCTCTTTGCACTCTTTTGACAAATCTTTTAGTATGAGGATGCTTCTTGAGCTCATTTTGCAAGTTTGTATTTATAGAGGAAGAGGTCCAAAAAAATAAAAATGAATACTGGTGGTCAATTTCTCATGTGATTCCGCGTCTTATATTTTGATAAAATGGGCACCCTCTAAAAACAAAAAACAAAAAAAAAAAAAAACAAAAGGGGAAGCAACAGCTATATATAAAATAAAAATAAAAAATATTTCTCCCTTAATTTTTTAAAAATCAAATTTTTTGCATCTTATTAAATTATTTCTATCTATTAAGTTATAAGAAAAAATTTTACTAGGCAGTCTAAAACAAGCTTTCAGAATAAAAATAAAAAAAATATATTATAAGTAACTCAAACAAATTGCACCAAACATCTGTGTATGGTTTTCTTTGCAAAATAGGCAATTGAATTAGAAGTTTCTTTGAAATTGTTCAAAATTAAATAATATAATAAAAAATTTATAAGTAAAACAATGCATGACCCACCTTTATTAGGAAATTAATGACAAGGGATGACCCCATTTTGTGTGCTTAGCATTTATTATTTGTCAAGAGCACTGCATGAGCGATACATCATTATACTTTTAAAAGTATCTAATAATTTTTTTTTATATTAAAATGAAACCTGGTATAAAGTATGGTGTAGTAGACTAATGTGCGTCCCATTCCTAACAATTATGCTAAATGATCAGATAGATTGAGAGATGATGTAAAGAGGATAATCTTTTCATATGCAAGTTTAAATAATTAAAGGAGCGCCCAAATCACTTTCATTTTTGTAATTAGTTATAAGGTCAGAGAAACAGGGGCAGTCTTTTTAGACTTTCTTTGTTTTGAGGAAGACCATCTCAAGGGTGTGGAATAAAGTGACCATCAATTTGGACTCTTCAAATTAAAAAAACTTGCTGCTGAAGGATTGGCCTTGGACGGAAAGTTAGCCCCCACCTTCGTTTGGCAACCATTTTTGCCGAGTGAAGCAACAATGGCCAAGATCAAGTAAAAAAGAAGAAGTCACAATGGTTCTGTTTTGTATAATTTATAGTTGATTTTATAAAAAAAAATTGTCAATTTTGAATAGTTTCTCTTCAATTTGCGATTCAATAGGGGAGATACTGCTGAGTATTAGTGGGTTCATCTTAGACTCATTTTGGTTATTCGAATCGCTCTATGTTAATTAAATGTTAGTAATTATATGATTGAATCACATATTTTTTTTTTTAAAAAAAAATTATTCTATAAATAAATATAATCTAATCATGTACTATGCATCGTTAATTTTTTTACATAAACTATGGCTTGTTTTGAGAAGCTGACTTTTAGTCATTTTTTTTGGTTTGTAACAAAAGTCAAAAGTTGACTTTTTTGAATTTTTTTTTATTTAAGAAGTTAGTTTTTAGTCAATAGTGAAATTACTATTCTATCTTTCACGAATTAAAATATATTACATGAGTAAAGTTATAAATATTTTAAATTAAATAAAAATAATTTGATCATTTTATAATGAGTTGACATCATAAATAAATATTAACAAAAAAATCAAAAATCACTTTTCATCAATTTCTCAAATTATTTACCTAAAAAAACCAAAAACTTCATTAAAAGTTAAAAAACTACTTTTCACCGTCTACCCATAATAGGCATATCTACTTGTCGACCTTATTTATGAGTCAAACAGTCAAATCACCAAGTGGGCCTATTAAGCCTAACTGCCCTAGTTGAATCACCAATTCTAGGATACTCAACCCTGTAAAATTTTAAAAGAGCAAATGAGTGGTAAGTCTAATTAGAGCTACACGTTAGTTTCACTTATTGTTATAATATGTATTGTGTCGGTTTGTTTGTTTATTTATTTTTTATTATTTTTTTGCTTTGCCATTTTATTAGTGATAGATTTAAAATTACTAAATTAATGGTTTCTAATATCACTGTTTTAAAAGTATGTGTTAGGCTTATGCTTTATGAAACAAAAATAATTTGAGCAAGTTAATAAAAAATAATTTAAAAATATTTTCAACTTCTGTGTTAAATTTAGAGTTTAATAATTTTTAATTTGTAAGAAGTTGCAAGGCTAATGTATCCCTATGCTAGGTTTAAATCATAGATTTGAATGAAAAATTGGAAAGAAAAGTGAAAATAGAGAAAAAAAATTTAACTTTTATATTATTCATATTGTCCTTAGTTTTTATTTTCATTTTTAAATTCTTATCCAAATCCATAATATCTAAACATAACCTTAAAAAATAAAATTTATAATACTTCCACGCATATACAAATGGGATTGGCTTTCCTCCAGTCCGATCAAGGTACTGTTGGGCCCTTAAGGGCTCACCATGGGGTCCCATTTCGATAATTCGTTCAATGTGTAAAAATCGTCGAATATTATATGTTTGTAAAAAATTACGTTGATCGGATATCGATAGCTATTTCATTGGATCAAATTTCTATTAATTGTTTATTTTTTTCACCGTCTATTTTTTTTTATACAAAATTAATTTCCGATCAAGGTACTGTTGGGCCCTTGAGGGCTCACCATGGGGTCCCGTTTCGATAATTCGAACCGTTCAATGTGTAAAAATCGTCGAGTATTATATGTTTGTAAAAAATTACGTTGATCGGATATCGATAGCTATTTCATCGGATCAGATTTCTATCAATTGTTTATTTTTTTCACTGTCTATTTTTTTTATACAAAACTAATTTGATCATGTAGCTATCGATATCCGATAAACGTGATTTTTTTATAGTTATATAGTACTCAACGAGTTTTACATATTAAACGGTTCATATTATTAAAACGGGACCTGTGGTGAGCTCCCACGAGCCCAACAACATCGGATTGGAGAGAAACCCAACCCTATGCAAACATATGCACATGTATACATATATAATATATTGGATAATATATAGGATAATATATAAGATCATTATTCATTAGGTTAAGTTTGAGTGTGGCACTCTCACCTAAATATACCCAACAGTAGCTTCTAAGGGGCATTTCATGCACATGTTAAGGCTGTTCGTAAAGGGACAGAAAATTAGAATAAGGGGGCATTCCACGTGTTTGATACTATTAAACAAGTAATAATAGAGTAGTTGTCAAACCATATGGGGGTTAGCTAAATTATTGAAGTGGCAATCCATGTATTGGCTGGCATAACCCTTTCTTTTGGATAATTATTGGAGGATTATGTTACATTATTTATGTGATGTTTTAAATTAATTGTGTAGTAAAAATTTTACGAATAAAATATGATAACTCATTTTGATTAGATAGTTAAGAGACAACCGATTAGAAGTTGTTAAGTAATGTTTCGAGTTTATTATTTTTATTTATAGAAAACATTAAGTATGTTTATATATTTAGTACATATACACATATGTACTTTAAAATTTTATTTTGAAAATAAGAGAAATGATAATTAAAAGTGATCGTTGATGGTCAAAGATGGTGGTTGGAGATAGTTGTCGGCCATCGAAAGGATGATTAGAGGTTATTTCCAATTGTTGGAGTGATTGGTTGTGGCCAGAGAGGTGGTGGCTAGGCCAAAAATGGTGGCCAGTTGTCAAAGGTAGTGGTCGAAAATGAGTTTCGGTGATTGGAGATGATTGTCCAAAGTGGTTTTCATCAATGGGAGGTGATGGCTAATGGTGGTAATGAGCAATAGATGGTGGCTAAAAGGGGTGAGAAAATAAAAATAAAAATAAAAATTTTGTTTCTAAATAAGTGAAACCAATATTTTTACAGTTACAATAATTTAATAAAATTTAAAATGTTTATAAGTTTTTGAAAACTAAAATAAACGCCAAATAAGTTTTTTTTAGGGGCAATCACAGTTCAGTGGTTATTTAAAAAAATAATTACTAAGTGATGAAAAGTCTTATCATTTTATAGCTTAATATGTGTAAAGTTTATCATTAATTTAAAAATATTTTTATTAATCTACACCTAATTGACATATGTCCTTTTATTCATTGTTTTCAAAACTTTTATAAATATAAACAAAAATTTATAAACATTACCAAACAAACTCTTAGTGTGTATTTGGTCTCTCATTAAGTGAAAGTACCAAGTAAATAATACCACACGACACAATACTTCATAAACATTTAATAATTTTCCATGAAAAATATGGGGTTGGCTAAATTATTGAAGTGGGAATGCATGTATTGGCTGGCATAACCCTTTCTTGACGTGTTCAATTGTTTTTAAATTTAAGGCATCACCTTTTGTATTTGAGTACGTTATTTGAATTAAACTCACATTTCTGGACCCATTAAGAATGTGGTCCTTTTGTTTTTTTTCAAAGTTTAAAACCAAACGATGGCCTAATTTTCAAAAGAGAATATTTTCACATATAATCTAAAAAAAGGCTTGATTGTAGGCTGGTCTAAGCTGGATTTCAGGCAGCCTAACTAACCGCACCCAGCCCTGATCACAAAGTCCTAACCCAAATTGAAATCATAAATGCAGAGTAAATTACAAATACATTTATTGATATTTGATTAAAATACGAATCGCCCTTTATGATTTTGAAAATTACATTCCACTCTCTGAAGTTTCTAACTTCATAATAAATTGTCATTTTTATTAATAAATTATCAAGTCAAATTAACAATTTTTAACGATATTAAAAATATGTTTCAATTAATAATTTAGGTAATTTTATTATTGTATAAGATAGCAATTACGAATTTTATTTTTTTAGTTAATTCTGTTATATAAAAAATTCTAATAAAGGAATATTTGTAATTTTTTAAACCACAATGAACAATCTGTATTTTAAACAAATTTCAAGAGGTATATTTATAATTTACCCTAAATACAAGTAGTAGAGTGTACGCATCAGTTGCTTGAGGGACATAATTGTTGAAATTTAATAACTAAAGACCGTAGAAAAAAAAAAATTCCCATTAAAATAAAATAAGAGAGGGCAAGAATCAACATAATCGTACTTTTATTTTTGAAAAAATTGTGTGCTTGATTCACACTCGTGTTATCAAGACGAGCCAACCAGTGAGCTGACAT